ATCAAACCGTTTTACCAGAAGAGGGAGATTACGAAGGAGGAATACAAGAGCATCCTTCGAAAAGCAGTGCAAAAGGTAAGGGCACAAGTGAAAGACAGTCAAGAGGAGGAGATGGGCAGGTCATGAAATAAGTGGCAGTACTTTGGATTGCACGTGCCAGTTTTGGCAGTTACATGCCATAACTGAGTAGCAGATTTTTGGACCCTGACTCATACTCTGCTGTCCTGTGGTGAAACAAGAACATTGCTAAGCTTGAGCTGCCTGAGGTGAAATATTAGGTGGTATGTGCCTTGGGTGAGAATGGTTGAATCTCTCTCACTAGCAACTTCAGCTAGAATTGTCAACTGTTTCTGATAAAGTGAGAAAATACTTTGTGCATTAGTTCCTTGAGCGTCTGTGGTGTCCTTGAACCTTAAAAGACGGCTTGGCAGTTTTACTGATACTGACTTCTGTCCCATATCTTAGTGCTGACCAGATCATGGCTAAAAAAGACCTGATCAGCAGGTAAATGTTGTCTTGTAAGGGGAAGTAATGCTTTTGCAGTCAAGGCAATTAACTGCTACCTTAGCAGACTGTCCTTGCTCTGCATTCTTGCCATCACTGGGAAATTCCATCATAAATCAAAATTCCTGAGATAATGGCTGCAATTTCATATCTTCTACGTGACCCATATGAACCTCGTGTTGTTTGTAGGAGAGCTGAGCAACACCCATCACTGCTGAAGTCACTGTGAACTCCTCTCTGAACATGAAGAAAGTTCTTTGTAGGGTTTGTTCTTTCTCCTGTATCTCAAGATAGGCCCTCAAAACTGCCAAATTCTTTTAGTCTGAGCATTGCTTCCTCAAAATTATCAGAAATATGGGATATCAGCACTTCCTTGGTTACCACATGTAGTGTAAAACTGGGTGGATGGGTGGAAAAGCCTGTAGTAAAAAATGAATAATTCTGTTCTCAGAGATGCCTCTGCATTCAGTTGGTGCTCAGCAGATAAGCACTGGGCCATTTCTGGAATGCTTGAAGTAAAATATTCCTCTTACCTTTGTTTTCTTAATGTACACTGCTATGAGACTTGAGGGCCTGTGCAGGAATTGGTTCCCTTGGACAGCATCTTAGGTCCTGTCTGTCACTTGCTTCTTGCCTGCCTGAACTGCTGTTATTGACTGAATGCCCTTTAATCCCCTGCAGATCTGCCACAGCAAAAGTGGAGAGATCAACCCTATGAAGGTGGCTAATCTGGTGAAGGCATATGTGGAAAAATACAAACATATGAGGAAACATAAGAAAACTGATAGTGAAGATACACGTGAAGTGGAAAACTGAGAGCAAGCCACAGCCAGCACGATTTGGACTGAACTTATCGTAGCTGTGGACACTATGGGAATAACAGACCTGCAGTTGCATCTCACTGTAAACAAAGTGCAGAGAAACAAGATTATAACAGGACTTATCTGTGGAACCTTCTCTTGAATTGTTTCCATATGGGAATGAACTTAGGATTTTTTTTTGATTACCTACAGATGTAGAACTACATAACAATCAAATGCCTCAGACCAGCAGAGTAATTCGAGGGGAAACACAGAAGAGATTAATGTTTGGGACTCCCGGATTGCTACAGTTTTCAGGGTTACTTTGATTCACATTTTTGGGCTGTGCACTTGTCTTGCTAAAGTTTGAAACTGGACACCACTTTTCTTACAGTATATTGAAAGCTGTATACTGTTTCCCTTGTGTTTATTTATCAATGGATTGTCTTTAGAAATTTCTGATTTAATACTTGAAATATTGTATTTTTAGCCTGTTGGATGGTGAGCGAAGCTTTACTCGCTCTGGCAGTTGGGGATTGCAGAAATGACCTAACCTTTATAAACTGACTTCAGAAACACTGCTCAAGCTGTGGTGTTTATTTACATTGGAAGTATCTTGTTAGTGAAAAAAATTAATTTCGGGGTGGGAGATTGTGTTGCACTTGTGTAAATAATGCACTGACGGCTGGTTTCATGTCTGCCTTTCAGGAAACAGTGAAACAAAAAGCAAGCATCGTGAATTTTCAGTAACAAGCCGGAGGGATAAGGTTGAACTGATGTACAAAGCAGAAATGTGACAGAGTTTATAAAGTTATTTTGAATGGTTTTAGTCCTATAGCAGGTGTCTTTTGTTTGTCTTGCATCTGCCTTTTGCCCTGGCTGATCTGTGTAAACCTGCATGCTTGGCTCTTGCATAAGGAATACGGTGTTTCTAGAAGAGAATTGGAGTTGGATTAGTAATTGTCCCTCCTCCTCTGTAGGAGGACTCATTTTCCTATCAAGAACCAAAGAAGTCCAGCACACATACTGACTTCATCTTGATTTCTTTAACAACACTCCTTGCCCGCATGTACTGCAGAGCAACAGATCTTTTAAGGGACCATCTGAAAGACAGTCACTTAAAAATATATTCAGCACCCGTAAACCTGACTTGAATCATTCCCCATTTAACCATGTTAGGGAGGAGATATTTCACAGGGAGGCTGAAGGGAAAGCCCGTAAGATACAACTCAGAAACTGGCTTTCCCTTCACAGGAACAGAATGCACGTGGCCTGTTGGACCAGATGGCAACAGCACTTCTTACTGAGGGCTTTCCTAACCTCTTGGAAACTGCCCTCTTTGAGGACAGTCTTGCTGCTTGTCTTCCAAGAGAAGACGTTTAGGCTCCCTGGGATGAGTTTTATAAAGCAAATAACGGCAGCTCTTTCCTCCCCCATAGTGAGTTAGGAAAACTCACAAATAGCAAGACCTTTGGTTCCTTGCTGGTGTTCCTGGCGTTTCAGTTACTCTGATTTTGATCGTAAGATTTTTGTCTGCATACTGTAATTTTGTCTGTGGTTCCAAGTAGCTTGTTTGGGGAGTTTATTATTTAAGCAAAACAAGCCTATATACCAGTAGTGTTTAGACTGGCACAATGCTTTGCTCCTATCATTCACCATCCTAGAGAAGTGTTTATGGATGAGCCCTGAGCATTTTGGAGTTAATCTTCCTTGGCTCTGTATGCTTCCTGTGTGGAAGTGCAGCCTGAATGGAATATAAGGAGGTGATAACTTTGGAGTTGCTTTAAAGATTTTTTTGAAAAAGACTCAGTACTGACTGCAGAACAGCTGAAAGAGAAGCTGTAGTTCCCAAGCTAAACTTGTAGCCAGAATACATACCTGGCATATGGGCATGGAGTTGTGAATACAAACACTGTTGATAGATTCCTTGACAAAATAAAAGTTCAAACACTTCTATGGCACTGTTGGCACAAGAATGAGGGAATGTGATCTAGTTGTGCACACAATTAGGCAGGAAATTGGGCACCTCCCAGTGTGTCAGAGGAACAATTCAGGAATAACCTGTCTGCATGAGTGAAAAAGGGTAGGTGGTGTGAAAAAACAAGCCTTGACCAAATAATAGAAACAACTACACTGTTTACCAGGAAGACAGTGTCAGTCTGTTTTGTTCCTCAGACTGTTTCACTTCTTGTTTAATATTAGCCTTGAATTGGCAGTAAAGATAACAGCCTGTTCCAGGGTGTATTGGGAGTGCCTGTGCTGTAAGACCTCTTAAATTTGTTACCTCTGCATCTGCCACTGCCTTGGAGGAGCACTGAAGCTGAAAACTATACCTTCTGCATGTGCTTTCCACTGAAGTTATATCCACAAGAATACTGGTTCTGTCTGTCTGCCATTAAAAATAAATCCATCAAATTGTAAGCTACCCCATGGGACAGGCAATAAGAAATATACCTAAAAATGCCTTTTCTGACATGTTCTAGAAAACAGTTTTTCTAGTATAATGTGTATGTTACTTCATGGCCCTCTTGGATCAGATGCTGCCACCTGTTTAAGGGAAGAAATCTTACTGAACACCTGCAGTAATTTGGTAACAGGATAACTTCTTGTTTAGTGTCCCTTCGCTCCTCTGCAACAGGGGTAATGCCAAAAGTTCCTTAAGCAAAGGCAGGGAGGGATGCTGCACTAGGAATTTGACTCGGGAGCTGCTCTGCCACCGTGTTTGTCTTACAGGAGGCCTCCAGAACTGCTTTTGGGACACAGCCCTGGCCCTGCTATGTGGCCAGAGTGTTCAGGTTGTTGAGAGCTACTCTGAGGTTGGAGGGAGAAAGGGAGGGTGGGGTTCCCAGACAGAGCCTGGGGAGGCGGGGAGTGAAACAAGGGGAGGAAACGAAAGGGGGAACGGCCTGGAGGATCCAGCTGGTGCTGCTGCCGGGCCATGGCCCAGCCCGGAGCCTGTGAGTAGCTGCCTCGGCTCTTCACTGCTCTGGTTCAGAGTGAGGGGAGAGTCCTTTGGCTTGTTCCTGATGGAGAGACTGGGTGTTTGGGAGAGGGTGAAAGCTTGCCTTCTTGCTGGGCTTGTAGTAGGTTGTGTGTTCAAGTGGATGCCGAGAAATGATGATGAGTCAGTCCTGAGCAGGGTGTGTTCCACAAGGGGATGCCATGGTTGGTGTCACGTGGTGAGGAAGTGAAACAAGGGAGAGGAAAGCAAATCTAACCATGCTTTGTTCTGGTATCCAGTGATCCCCATCCTGCCTCCTGCTGGCATTCTCCTTGCCTGCAAATCTCTCCGCTAACATGCTCTGTTTGGGGATGTTCTCAGCCATCACTGAGTCCCTGCCTGTGCACCTTGTCCTTTGGGGAATCCTATTGTCACCTGCATTATTCCCCCAGTCTCCCGGGGCTGTAAGCACCTCTACAGGGAATCACAGCATCATATGCATCTGGAGTGGGGCAAGGGGAGAGGATGTGATAGAGGAAGTGCCTGAACTCACTAGCCCTGGCTTCAACACTTCTCCCTAGCTGTGGTCAAGAGCTGAGGGTAGGCTGGGTGAATTACTTGGAGAGCAGCTGTCCTCCTGACGTCAGCTCTGCCCTGCCAACCTGCTACTGGGATGAGCAAACTGCCAGTTTTGGGATAGGTGCACCTGTGGCTGGAGCTCTTGCAGTGCTCAAAGCATGAGACCAGATCTGTTAAGGTGATGCTTGGTGTACAGGTCAGCATCTGATGGGAACTTTCTTGTTGTGTCTTAGCCCCAGTGGAAACTTTCTTGTTGTGTCTTAGCCCCAGCCAAGATCCTTGTACCTCTCTTCAGGAGCTGTTCATGCAGCAACTGTGGTTGCACTGTTAAACCAGCTCCGCTGCTTTTCCTTGCTGGCTAAAATGATCCCAAAGTTGTGCAGAGCTCAAGGGAAAAAGTGGTCTGCAACCCAAAGGGTCAAAGTGTCTCTTAACCACCTTCCCTGTCCCATGTGTCCAGGTCAGGAGCAGGAGGATGGATTGCGTGAAGTGTCTCTCTCCACCCAGAGACTGCGTGTGCTGCCTCCTGCAGTCCTGAGCAACCCCATGCTGGAGAGCCTTGACGTCGACAGGAACAAGCTCAGGACAGTCACCGGCATTTCTAAGCTTTGCAAACTGAAGAAGCTGATACTGTCCAAAAATGAGATTGTGGACTTTCCCAATGAAATCCAGAGCCTTGTCTGTTTAGAGAGGCTTGAGCTGAATCAGAACCAAATCAGGGTCATCCCAGAGGGGATTTTCTCCCATCTCCCCAGGCTTAAACACTTGCGGCTGAACAACAACCGTCTCTGTGCCCTCCCCAGGGACCTGGCAGCTTGTCAAGGCAGCCTCCAATACCTCAACATCTCCAACAACCTTTTCCGGACCTTCCCACTGCCTGTCCTGCAGCTGGCACATTTACAGGAGCTCCATGTGCAGAATAATGCCCTTCGCCAGCTCCCCAAGGAGCTCTTTCAGAGGCAATCCCTGAAAATGTTTAAGGCCAATGGGAACCCCCTCCGGGAGCCACCCAGTGAAGTGTGCGCTGGTGGCATTCAGCAGATACGGAATTACTTCATCCAGCTTCAACACGGTTTGGGGCAGGAGGACAAAAGGGTCAAGACCATGTTCCTGGGGGCTTCACTGGCGGGGAAGTCCACCATCTGCAAAAGCCTGAAGCAAGGGCAGTCCAAACTGGTGCCCAAGGAAGAGCGAACAGTTGGGATAGAGATCAGTGAGTTCCAGATCGAGGACTTCACATTTCTCTTTTGGGACTTTGCCGGCCAGCTGGAGTACTACATGACTCACCATGTGTTCATCACCCCACAGGCGCTTGTCATCCTCGTCATTAATCTTCACATGTAAGTGCTCAACTGGTTTGGATTCCAGGTGAGGCAGGGGAGGAAAAAAGGAACTAGGGAAACTTTCCCCTGCACAAATTCACACCATTTCCATTGGACCTTGAGGCCTGGTCTTCTCACCATTGGAGTAGCTAGTTCTCCTCCCTCCCCCTTTTTGCATATCAATCTTTTAATTAAGCCACTAGGTCTGTCATCACCCTGCCAAAAGCCTCTGTTTAGAGGGATTGAATAACTTCTTCTGTGACAATTGAACCCTGCCTTGGAAATACCTTTACAATGCCTCTATATCCTGCAGTGTTCCCTGAATATGAAGGGAGCATCGCTGCTTGGGTTTTGTCCCTGTATAGCACAAAAATTTCCCATCCACAGCAGGGGTGGACTCTACACCCCATAGCTTTAACTGGCTTAGCTTAAGGATGGAAAACTGAAGGATGAGCTTGGATACAGCCCATGTCAGCTTCTGAAGTCTGATCTCTTCTCTGGTGAACTCCTGGGACAGCACAGGGTGCATGGTCAGACCTGCACTGGTGGAAGTTGTCTGGAGATCCAGAGAGTGAGACATGAATTTGTGATTTTCTTTCTCTCCCTCCCCAGGTACCAAACTAATGACAACACTTTCAAGGAGCTCGTTGGTTTCTGGATCAACAACCTGTCCATGCGAGTCCCAAACTCAGTGGTGCTTCCTGTGGGAACCCATGTGGACTGCTGCCAGGAGGAGGAGATTGAGGAGAAGAGGCAGGACATCATGGCCAAGATCACAGCCATGCTGGCAGAGAGAAAAAGCAACCTCACTCACTGCATCAACAACCTGGAGGGCAGTGAGGAGCCCAAGCTTTACGTAGACCAGTGGGAGAGGCTGAAAGAGATGGAGAGCTGCACGTTAACAGTAGGGCTGAGATTATCCTGGTTTCTGGCTGTCTGTGATCACCTGTTGTCTCTGGTAGCCCAGTGTGCTACTGGCAATAGTGACCTGGTGCTAATGCATCAAGCCCCTACTGCAGCTGCTCCCTGGGCTGGGGTGGATGTGGTAACCCCTGGCTGTGACCTGCTGGGTCCTTGTCCCTGCTAGGTGATGGGCATCTCCTCCTGTGGCTTGTAGCAAGTACCTGAGGAGGAGTGTGAGGGTCATTTACCATCACCAGGTGATTTTCCAGGAACTGCTGCAGAACAAAGGTGTGACCTCCTTGGCATTAGGTCCTTCCTTTACCTCACAAACTAAAAGACTCCTCTGGATGTGCTTTTGGCAGGTATGTGCTTTCTCTTTTCCAGATCTTAAGCTTAGTTGCTGTCAACTGCATGGATCTCTGTGATATCAAAAAGCTCGAGGCCACTATTTTGGAGCACGTGAAGAACGAGGAGCTCTTCCCCGAGGTGGTCCGAGTGCTGCCACCAGTTTACAGGCAGGTGGAAGCTGCCATTGTGGATATCGCACAGAGCGAGGAGATGGCAGACCATGGTGAGTGCCACGTCTTCCTGGGAGGACCTGCTGTACTGTGCCTGGGACAGGCTCTCTCCAGAGCTTTCCTGAATCGGGAATGGGGTCTCCGGTGCTTGCTGCACCTTCTGGCCCTGCTTGTGTGGCAGTGGGACTGCTGCAGAAGACCTTGCAGCGTTATTGCTGAGCATTAGTTACTGCTGCCCAGCTCTGTCACTACAAGCATCTGCCCCACCCCCCTCACCCCAGGCAGGTGCCTAGGGAAAAGCATAGGAGAAAGCCAATTGTGTCTTCACAAGGAGGCTCTGCTAGCTGGCCGTGTTGTCCAGTTTGTTTCTTTCCAGTAACATTGTTCTTTCTCCCCTTTTCACTGTATAAGCAATTAAAAAATCTTGCAGGAAGGAACTACATAGCTTTACTGTTTCTATGTAGTTTCCAAATCTACATCCTGCTAACTTTATTTAATAGCCCCTGCCCCTCCCTAGACCCTTCTCTATGTCTCTTGTCACTTAGCAGGACTAGCAGGCAGTCCCAGCTCCTTACTTATGTACCTAAAGCAGGTATAAACAGCACCAGCACCCTGTGTCATCTCTGGCTCACCTGGCCACTGTAGGATTAGAGAATGAGGAGCAAATGCTTTTCTTTTGTGGAGATAAGCCAGGTTTTGTTGCCTGTCTCTCTGCATGACTGAATGACAATCTGAGGTTTAACTGGCAATCTGAGGTTTTCTGGCTGGAAACAGACCTGCTTTCTCAAACAATGACAGAAATTAGTATTAGCCGCATTTTTCAGATGTGCCAGTAAGTCCTGGCTGTTGCCACCACTGAGTCAAGGCAAGACCATGGTAGCTGCAGGGTGGCAGTGGGACAGCTGAGGATAGGCAAAGCATTTTGGGCCACAGCCACTGAGCATTGCTGCAATCCCAGCTGCTTCCTCAGGGATGGCGTGGGTGATATGGGGTGCTGCTGGCGTTTGTTGGCTCTCTAAAGCATCTGCCTTGGAATGCTGTGTCCGATAGATGCATGCTGAACTCCTGCATCTCTCTCTAGGCATGATGGACCTCCAGTACCTGCTCAGCAAACTCTCCCAGCACAAGCACCTGGCCAACCTGGGCAGAGAGCTTCTCCAGGACATATTGCGGTACCTTCACCGCATTGGGCTTGTCGTGTGGTACGAGGAAATCAAGCAACTGGAAAGCACTGTTTTTCTCCAGCCTACCTTCCTAATAACTATGTTCAAGGTGAGCATGGTCATCAGGATCATCTACTCTGCAGGGCTCAAGCTCTGCAGCTTTGCCGGGCTGCTCTCATTGCCACCTCGTCACTTCTTCTCTTCCCATCCAGCTCCTTGTGAGGTATCGCCTAGTCCAGCAGCTCGAGAGCATCTCTGTGGAGACACTGATTGGGGAACATGCCACCATCAGAGACAGGGCCAACTGGGTGTGGACCTTCAAGTCAAAGGCAATGTTGTGCCACCAGGCTGTGCGTGCTTTGGTGAAGCACCAGCTCTGTTCAGAAGGGATGTGGGATGTCTTTGAGGAAATCATGGGAAACGGGCCTCAGAGAGGGAGAGGGAAGCTCTTCAGCCTTCTGGAGCACTTTGAGCTCTGCCTGGAGGTGAGGCATATGGAAGCACTCAACCCACAGGCCAGTGAGTTTGTGCCTGGGAAGCTGTGGGAGACAACACGGAGCCAAGGCGAGTCCTGGTACTTGTTCCCAACCTATCTGAACCAAACAGAAGAAGTCTCTGAGGTGTGGGGAGGAGATCACCCCGAGGACCTCCACATCCGTGCCTACTTCTCACCTGAAATACCTGAGAGCTTCTTCCAGAGGTAAGCAGTGGTTTCCAGCCCTTGATGAGGTTGTGTGATTTGGGGTTTGCTCGGTGCAGTGCCAGTATGACTGTCAGCAAGCCCTTGGCTGTTGAGACTTGTATCTGCTGAGCCATGAGGCTGGGAGTCAAGATATCAGGGTGGCTTCTCAGCTCTGCCATGCACATGTGGAGTCCTGGATGAACCATTGCAACGTTCACTGTCTGGATGTGAGCAAGGGCCACACTCCTGGTTCACCCTTCATCTGGAGTGGTGTTTGGCTAGTCTGTGCCTGTCCAGGTATTCAGAGGTCTCCCAGTCCCACCTGAGGATGTTCCAGTTTCTACGTGTCATGAGACTGTACCAGTTTTTGGAACATCTCCTGGCCTTGTGGACTTGTTTCCAGAGTTTTACCTGATGGTGGTGTGGTGGTGTGGTTTAACCCCAATTGGAAACCAAGCACCACAGAGCCACTTGCTCACTTCCCCCTGGTGGGATGGGGGAGAGAATCGGAAGAGTAAACGTGAGAAAACTCATGGGTTGAGATAAAGACAGTTTAATAGTTGAAAAAAATTATAATAGTAACAGTAATAACTATAATAATATTGTAATTAAAAGGAAACCAAAAAACAGAGAAGCAAAACCCACAAAGAACAAGTGATGGAAAGGAAAAACAATTGCTCAGCACCAACCAAACAATGCCTAGCCTATTCCAAGCAATGGTTTCCCAGCCAGCTTTCCCCCACGTTTATATGCTGAGCATGATGCCATACGGTATGGGATATCCCTTTGGACGTTTGGGGTCAGCTGTCCTGGCTGTGTCCCCTCCCAGCTTCTTGTGCACCCCCAGCCTCCTTGCTGGCAGGGCCGCATGAGAACCTGGAAAGTCCTTGACTTGGTGTAAGCCCTGCTCAGCAGCAACTAAAACATTGGTGTGTTATCCCCATCATTCTTATCCTAAATCCAAAGGACAGTGCTGCACCAGCTACTAGAAAGAAAATTAACTTCATCCCAGACAAAACCAGGACAGATGGCCAACTCTGGAATCATCTTTTGGCTTAAGAAGCTGCTACTGCTGCTTGAGCTTTTGGTAGGGGAAAGTTCTCATTTGGTGTCTGCCTCTGTTTTTACTGAAATTGGGTTCATATTTTCAAGTTCACCTGGTGCCATGCTTTCTTCTGGTGCAAGGGGTAAGCTAGGAGGAGGCTGGTGAAAGCCATGGGGAATCTCCTCACAGGTTCCTGGTGAAAGCTTGCTCCTTCTACTCCACACACTGGGTGGCCAAGGTGACCTGCCTGCTTGTATGCAATGGCAAACCTCTGCTGATCAAAGAGAATAACCAGAGGGCCTACAGCTACCTGGAGCTCCGGTGCAGAAAGCCAGCAGGAAGGACAGGTAAGATTCCTGATTCATATTTCATGACTCCCAACCCTATGTTTCTCCTTAGCTCCCCTTCTGCCACCTCCAGCCCTCTGGGCAGTGTCCCAAGAAGCCTCTGCCACATGTCCTAGTCCGGCCAGGGCCCACCAGCAGTTCAGTTAAAAATTTCCCCTTTATCCATCCAATTCTGTTCAGGACTCCTCTAAAGTATCACATGGAAGTGGAAAGTCAAGTTTTCAGTCTTCTCATGGAGCAAATGTGTCATCCTTCCCCATAAAGGCCCCAGCAGAGTACAGTCTCAGGCCGAGTCTTCAAGTGACAAGCAAAAGGGCCATCCGAGTAGGGGAACTCTTCTAACATATCGTTAGAAGGCTATTGTATGAAGGGTATGGGTCTTGGTTAATTTGGGATCTGGAGCTGGTCCAACTGTTCTTGCTGTGGTGTGGTGGGCTGGAAGCGATGGGTGCATCACCACAGCATCTCCTGGGGTTGGGGACCGTAAGCAAGTGAGACATTCTCCTTTTGCCTGGAAGGTTTTCAGTTTGCATGGGACTTCCTCGTGGCAGTTGTGCTCATCATCCAGAAGCTTGCTGAGGAGTGGCCGGGGCTGCACGTGTGTGTGAAGACTCCCTGCCGAACAGTGGGCTGTCCCGCAGAGTTCATCTGGCCAGACATGGATGGCACAAGTGCCATGTACGTACACGCTGTGCCACTCCAAGCCAAGGGCAGGACCTGGGTGACTGCTACTGCAATGCTGGTGGGGCTGGTCAGCTGCTAGAGGCCACGTGAAATTAGTCATGAAACACTACTTTGCCCTCTTCTTGACGGCAGCAGCTCATGCCCCACATGTTGTTAGCACTTACTGGTGTGGGAAAGTCGATCATGGAAAGAAGGGTGAAGAAGCTGAGACTCTGGACTCAGGCACATAATATTCACTCTGAACACATGCCCACATGTCCCCTGTTTCATGAAGAGCTGAAGGTGCTCAGGCCCCTGGGAGGGCAGCAGGTGTCCCACCAGTGGTGGGACCTCAGGTCAGGGTGGGAAAAGCAAACCTCTTCCATTGTCTTGGCGTCATCTTCCATGGGGACTGCTGAGGCAGCTCCTGCTCCTTCTTTTTGTGGCTTTTCCCTCCGCAGGACAAGGGAAGATGTTAAAACATGTGGGACGTGTGGACACCGTTTTGGCACAGAGCTGCTTCTGCCCAAAGGTGAGCCCAAAGGTCCCAAGTTTGTGCTGCAACAGCTCTCAGGGGAAAGAGGGCTGATGGTTTCATGGAGCTGAGGTGCTGAGGGTGTCCTATTCCCACAGTGCCCAGTCAACTGGAGAAGCCCCCAGCACAGCCTCCTGCTCACTATTACGTGACAAGCTATGGGACCACCACCTTTGGGCCCAGCAGCATCCAGGTCACTAGGCAGGTAAGGACACTGCCACCTCCCCTTGCCCAGGGACCAATGGTGATAGCCAGGTTGGTTCTCTCCCCTCGCTCCTGAAATGAGGGGGGTGTGGTTCCTTGCGGCCTGGGGAGGGGACATCCCATCTTCAGGCAGCGCTCTGGTTTCCACACTCCTCCCTGAGATAGCACCACCTCTGTGCCTCCGAGCTCAGGTCTGAGTGCTTCGTGTTGCAGTTACTGCCTTATTTTTCCAGAACATCTCCAGTGAATAATTCTAGCCAGTGGGGAGGCACTTGCTGAAGAATTACTTTTGTTTAGCCAAAGCCAAGCTGTCCTCAACAATCTCTGCTTGCAAGTCAAAGTCATGTTTGCAGCCTTAATGCATGGAAATAAATGAATCGATAAATGCATCCCTTCATGTGTGGGAAGTCACCTCACTCACTAAAACTTTAGAGGAAGAAGGTGCTGACAAGGGCTCTGATATCAGCCTGCTGCTGCCAGCAGGGACTTTGCTGAGACAAGGCTGGACCCCTGTGGTTTTGGGGTGTACAGGGGGTGTTTCAGGCCTATAGTAGGGGCAGACATCCAGGTAACACCAGCAAGAGGGAACTACTTTTCTGTACATATATTTAAACTTGGAAAAATTAAGAAAATAAATCTGTAAATGATCATAACCCACAAAAACACGTTAGCAGCTGACCGAGGGGAAAAGAAACATGTGAGTTCTGGGATTGGTCAGTGAAGCTGTCCCTGAGTTGGGGGTGCCGGTTTCTACAGTGCCCAGTGGTCCTGCTACCTGTCCCAGGGACCATGTGGTGGGTGGGGGTCAGTCCAGCTGCATGGTGTACTGCTCAATGAGATCGTAGAGACTGAAGGAGTCTGAGAGCTGCAGGCTGATGGTGTGGCTGTCGAGGGATGAGGCTCCCTCCTGCAGCACCTTCTCATAGCAGTACTCGCAGAACGTGGGCACCAACTGCAGAAGAAAAATGTCAGGGTTATGGGCAGCTGCCTGATGTGCCTGCAACAGCCTGATGTGGCTGCAGCACCCTGCACAGCCCTGTCTTCCTGGAATGGAGGGAAGAGGTGTCTGGGGCATCCTTTGTCTCCCCCATCCCGAGGTTCCCATCCCTGGGCTGCCTTCACAGCATCCCGCCCAGACCCTGAGTGTCTTTTGACTCAGGTGCACCGCTGCCCCATGTTTCCCTTGGTCCACAAGGGTTCCCTCCCTGGTCACCCAGCCCCTCCAGTCTCCAAGGGTCCCCCTTCCCTATCACTTAGTTCCCCTATCTCTCTCAGCCCCACAAGGACTATCAAGATATCCATCTGCCTCAAATGCCAAGGGCTCCCAGATCCCCATCTCCACTATCCACAGAGGGTCTCCCTCCTTGGGCACCCAGGCACTCACCTCCCCTGGCCCCTGAGGGTCCCCCTCCCCAGACCCTGAGGAACCTCCATCCCCCGTCCATCATGTATGAGTCCCCATCCATGAGCACCCAGAAAACCATCTGCCCCAGCCCCAAGGGTCCCTCCTCAGGCACCCAGATCCTCCTTCTCCCAGAGACCTCGAGGGTCCCCCTCCTCAGACACCCAGAGTCCCAGCTCCCCTGGCCCTCATGAGTCTCTTCCCTTCCCTGGGCAGCAGTGGTTGTTGGCTCCTTCACCTTGACCAGGATGAGCTTGGCCTCCTTAGGCTTGGCCTTGGAGAAGGCCTGACCAAAGCAGAGGTAGATGGTGAAGTCAGGGGACCGCCGCCTTTGGCCGTTGCGGAAGTCCCTTAGCTCTGCAAGAGAAGACAGGGATCAGTTTTGGGGTGAGCCTGGGGAACAGAAGGACTAGGAAGATTTGGATGCTTGTAACATCCTGTTTCCCGTGAGCCCCCATCCCCTGGTTCCCATGAGCCCCAAAACCAGGATGAAGGTGAAACAACACATGGAGAACAATGTGACACCCCTACCCACCTGTGCTAAACTCACTGAAGTCAAAAATAGGGGTTTCCTGGTCCCGGCAGAGAAGGTTGGATGGGGGGTCCTCGACACCCTCGAGCTGTTGGGACAGGGCCCAGAATACCTTGCACTTCTCCCGGCGGGTGGCAAAGACCTTGTAGGCACGTTGCTCCAGATGCAGCCCCACCTTGCCCAGCAGCTCCTCAGTGATACGCCACTGCTTTCTATCGGCCATGTTGGCGGGGCTGGGGAAGTGCACCACGCGCCAGGGACCCTGAGCCACCGCTGGTGAGCCACCGAGGGGCTGGTATGTCAGCAGGCAGTGCCTGCCCTGCACGATCTCCCGATGGAACTCCTTTCCCCGGTAGTAGATGGTGACGTCCAGGTTAGAGACGAAGTCACCTGCACCAGGCAGTGATCAGCAGCCGCATCCTCCAAACAGAAATGTTCTCCCTCTCCAAACTGAAACCCCCCGGCATTATTTACTATTAATAAGTATAATAATTTATAACTACTAATAATTAATAACCCTCACCTGTGTCACCCACCAGCTGCTGTGGCTGTGGCACAAGGCTGGCAGTGGGGACCAAAAACATCGCCTCCCCTGGTGACTGCGTGGGGACCATGCCCTCTGTCAGGTGACATGGCAGTGGCACGGCTCCTGCAGCGGGACATGAGCAGCATTGGCATGGGGATTCGGGATGCAGCAGGATGGGGGTTGCTTTGACATGGGGTGCAAGTGGCAGCACCTTGGCCTCTTCCCACTATGACATTCCCATGCCCAGGGCTGGATCCTGCCCCACAGCACCCACCTAGCTCCTCTGGTGGCATTAAGTCCAGGGGGGTGTAGGTGCCCAAAGCAGGCTGCTCCACTGTGGGCACCCACTGCTGAAATTCCGTGGGAGGGAAGCAGTTGTTCTGGCTGGGGTCGGCATAAAGCTGGAGCAGGCTGTCCTGAGGAGGCTGGAGCAGGACGTCCAGGTGGAGGGTGTCCCCTGCAGGGAAATCACCAATGGGGAGGTGCTGGCATCACCCACCCATGGAGCCACCCACTCTGCATCCTGTGACCAGGGCTGGTCTCACCTGCAGGCACCCAGGACGGGGTCATGCCGACAGCATCACGGGGGGAGATGTCACACTGCTGCAGCAGCTTCTCCAGTGACATAGGCTGTGTGGGGTCGATGCTGCCTAGGGGGGAGCACAGCAGGTGGGATGTCTCACAACTGCAAAATCAGCCCCACCTAAGCCTAGCGGGGTGCCTCCTCCAAAAAAAAAAAATGATTGTGGGACTAACATTTACCTGGGAGAGCAATTTCAGGGGCCATGTCTTGGGGATGAAGCTCCACCTGTGAAGGGAAGCAGGATGGGATCTTTCTGCTGAGGATGAGGAGCTCACAGGAGCCCCTGACCTGCATTTTGGCCAGAAGCTGGGCTGCAGCTTGAGAGCAGCCCAAGGCCATAGAGGTGTAATGCCTGAGCAGTGGCAGTGGGGACCCCACTAGCCTGCTGCGCCCACCCAGCTACCTGCAGCTGCTGTTGTGCTGGCTGCTGGTCCACCGCAGGATCAGGGCTGCTGAAATCCCCCTCCGTGCTGTGCTGAAGGGTGCCTGAAAGGAGATCATCAGGAATGGGGCATCCTGAGATCGCCCACCCCACCCAACATAGCCCCCTCTGGGGGCAGACTCACCTTGGTTAATGGTGAAGACCATGTGTGGGTCTTCACCACACTTGGAATTGTCCTTCAGCCGTTTGAACATGCCGGTGCTGCTCAGGGCACAGCGGAAGTTGGTCTTCCACTTGACCGGGTCCTCAGACGACTCCTCATACCGCCCACCCACCTTTGCCCAGGCCTGTGGGTGCAAGGAGGTGAGCATGGGGCCTCTGTCTCCATGAGCATGGAGGTTTCAGGGATGACTGCTCTTCCCCTGCCTTCCCAGTTCCTACATCCCACCCACCTTGAAGACCTCAACTCGCTGCTGGTCACCACCCTATCCCACCCACCTTGAAGGCGTGGTCACTCCAACCCTGCCACCCTGAAGACCTGGAAAGAGCACTGCATATCAACCCCATCCCGCTCACCTTGAAGACCGTGAGGTTCCTGCTGGTGACCTCAATCCCACCTACCTTGAAGACCTCCAGGTCGCTGCTGGTGATGTCCTTCCTGGCGTTGTGCTTCCAGGGGACGCGGAAGGTGGTGTGCTCGCGGTCGAGCCAGCGCAGCCCGCGGTACTTCCCGCTGTTGATGGCGTTCAGGAGCCACGGGACGAAACGCAGCCTCTGGGCCTCCCTGCGGGCAGGGGACCGTCACCGGGGGAATCAGAGCCACCCGGGGACGGCGGCCCGGGGGTGCTGGGGCGCCGCTTACCCCTCGTTCTCCGGCGCTGCCATAGTGCGGGCTCCGCCGAGCTGCTGCGACGGGACGGGCGGCGACCTCGGTGCGGGGGGCGGCCGCTTCCCGCCCGGTCCTTTATCCGCCTACTCCTGTTTTCCTGGAAATCACGTGTCCCTTCCGAAAGTGAAAGTGCCGCCGCTCCCGAGGTGGGGGATGTGGGAGAGTGTGCGTGTGTGTCCCTCAGCTCCCGGGGGTGCCCGAGGGATGCTCCAGCCCGGCCCCGCCCCCGGAGATGCTGCTGCGCAGCCCCGCGCAACCCCCTCCCCCAAACTAATCATGTTTAAAATAAATAAACCGGACTTAAAACGTGAGCTTGGGGCAAACAGAGCCCTGGGGCTCAGCCGCACCCGCTCCCGCCGGGGCTTCCCGGGGTGCGCCCGGGCACAGGGCTGGGAATCCCCGGGCGATTTTCCGTTGTTTTAACCCTTCTTCTCCCGGGCTGCCTCGGCTGCAGCTAAGGCCGTCAAGAAATAAAACGCAATTAAAGGCCAAGGCCCGGGGGGCAACGCTCGTCATTGAAGCAGAGGCGAAACAGCTCATCCATACCCATGACAGGAGGCAGGTCAGGGGCAGCCCCAGCGCCCTCCCGGCTCTTCCCTGAGGCCCCTGGAGCTCTGCGGGAAGCAGTAAAAACCACTCAAATCCCCTGAGATGTTTTTCGAGTTCATTACCCAAGGATCAGAGTGGGGGGTCAGTGGGGTGGAAACACGGAGTTGCTGCTGCCCCTTTTCCCACTGTGCTGCTTTTGAGGAAATTTCCTCTTCTTTCCAGGAACTTCTCCCTGCTGCTTACTAGGCGCTCCTATATGTTTTTCCAGAACATTACCTTTTGTTTTCCAGGAAATCTTCAGCTTCCCTCCTAAAAAACCCCCCACTGTTTCCCATGAAATTTCCCAGTCACTTTGAAGGCTATTTCTTCCTTGTTTCCTGGGAAATGTCCTTGTTGCTCTCTAGAGTCCTCCATTGCTTTCCAGGATTTCCCCCTCTGCTTAGAGGATCTCCAGTGCTTTCCTAGGAAATTCCCCCATGAGACTTACTCCCTGGGA